GGAGCGGGGTCCGGCCCGCGCGGTCCCTGCGGGGGAGCGAGGACATTGGGCCAGGCTGGGGCAGCCTGGTGACCCGACTCCCGCCCCGCCCCACCCAGTGCAGGGGCCCCGTCGGCCCTGGGCTCACCTCTCCTCCACGCTGGCCCCTTGCCGCAGCAGCTGCGTCACCAGGCTCACAGGGCCCTGCCACACGGCCTGGAGCAGGCGACCCCAGCCCTGGGGGGCACTAGGCCCCTGTGTCCCAGCTCCTGGGGCCTCCTCTGAGCCCAGCTCTGTCCACCGCAGTTCCTGCTCGGCCTCGGCCTCTGCTACGTCCTGCTTGCTGGGCTCAGGCCTCGTGGAATCCATCTGGGGGGAGCCTGGTCCCTGCATCCACCCTGGAGGCCTCTGATCTACCCCAGCTCAGGTGTCCAGGCCATTATGACTCCCCCCCACCAGCCCACCAGGGGTATCCAGCCACCACTCAGCCACTTAACCTTCTGAGGGGCTTGGCTCCCAGTTACCCCCCGAGGGAGCGGGTCCAGGGGCTCTGTCCTCTGGCTGGAGGTCCTCTCTGTGCCAGTCCTGGTCCAGCCTCGGCCTGGTGACCCTCCACAAAACCCCTTCCTCAGGCTTAAGGGTGGGGATCTGCTCTTGGAAGCCTGAAGCTGCAGTCGCGGGGGCATAGGGAAGCAGAGCTGGACGAGACTGAGGCCACCTGACACTGTTTACCCAGCAACTTGAGGGAGGCCCTGCCTGCTGGGCTGCAGTTCCAGCCCAGGCACCCTTCCTCTCCCACCCACTGCCAGGGCCCCCAGTTTGGCCTCCCTCCAGGGGAACAAAGGCCAGGGCGGGTTGGGAAGGACAAGCAGGAACACGCCCATGGACAAAAGCTCCTGGGATCCCACCTCCCCCAAGGAGCAAAGCTTTCGATGTGCCATGACATCCCCCCTACTCCACCCCTCACAGGCCTCCCCAGCGGTCCCACCCTTGAGCCTTCCCCTTACCCCGACTCCACTTAACCTCTCACTAAGAGCACCTCGGGCTGGAGCCTAGCGTTTCCTCCTGATTATGGGCGGGGGAGGTGGGCAGAGTGATTGATGTTTGACCCTTCCTCCCGTGCAGATGCTGCACAAGGACAGAGATTCCCCAGGGACCCCAGGCAGGTGGCCTGGATAAGAGGGTGGCAGTGGGATGGGGGAATGGAAACCCCTTGAGAGCAGATTGTGGCAGTCAGTGGAGGCCGTGGGCAGAGGCTGGGGCAGTAGATGGAGGAGCCAGGGCAGGGGAGGATTTTCAGGAGAGAAAAATCACACACAGCAGCAGTTCAACAAGTATTTGTTGTAGGAGTGAATGAGGGACCTGAGGAGAGGGTGGGCTTAGAAAGGAGAAGCTTTGCAGCATTTTTTTTTTTAAACCCCAATTCACCATCTGAATAAACAAACAGCCACTAAGAGATCTCCACATATGTGTGCCAGCGAAAACAAGTTGCTTGCAGGTCACACCACAGGGATCAGCCCAAGAGCTGCAGGGGAGCCTCAGCTATTCTCCTGAAGGGATGAGGTGCAGGTCACAGGCTTTGCACTATGCTGTCATCGTCCCCCATGCACATGTGTCTGAAAGAGGTTGGCAAGCTCGAAAGGCCTGGAAAATGTTAGAAGAAAAGTTGGAAAGGATAAAGCAGAGTGCAGGAGAAGGCATTACAGGGAAACCAACCGTTCAGCTCACAGACAACCTACTCGTTAAGTGTCAATTACTTATGTAAATGGAGCTTAAAATGCTGTACATTGTGCAAGAAAGCCTTGGTAGATTATTAGGTATTAAGGTATCTTAGTAATATTTGGGGAAATTGGTTGGGGTTTGGGCATAGGCTGTGAAAGCTTTTGTTTTTGTTTGTCTGTTGTTGTTTTTGGCAGCTGGCCATACTGGATCTGAACCCTTGACCTTGATGTTACAACACTGGGCTCTAACCAGCCGAGCTAACCGGCCAGCCCTGGGAACGCCTTCATCTTCCCACTTGAAATAATGAAATATGTGCTCCCATCATCTGAAAATCCGCTGCTACATCTACTCTCAGGATGGGCTGGATTCAGACAAAAAGGATGCCTGTAATCTTTGCTGCTGTTTATTGAGAGCCCATTGTGTGCTGGGTCCCGAACCAAGCATATCACATGCATCTGCCCATATGGTAGGCACCTAAGGTCTTTCCTGTTTTACTGAGGCTGAGGAAGGGCCAGGTTTTCAGATGAGGGGACTAGCAGGGGCTAGGCTGGGAAGTGGGATGGGTGGCCGCCTCTAGGTGGCAGCTACTGATGGGGCAGTTGTCAGAGTCAAGACCCATGGGATGAAGTCATGGTGTGGGGAGCTGGAAGAGGGGAGAGGGCGGGACCAGGACAGAGGAGGGCCCCAGTGCTTGGTCCTGGGGACAGCTGTGCAAGGCGTGACTACAGCTGGCTGAGGAGACTGGCCGGGGCATGAGCCGGGGCAGTCGCCTGGCAGGGAGAAGCCCAATCTGGCAGTGGGGGAAACTGAGGCAGGGGTGTGGCCCTGGAGACTGATCAGCGGGGCTGGACCTACCTGGGCCAGGATCCACTATCTGTTGCCAGGATCTGGATGAGGATCCAACCTGGGGAGGGTTAAAGGGTCTCTAGTGTGGCCCTCGGGGGCCTCGGTCCTGCTGCCTAACCCTGCTGTGAGCCCACCAGGCCCCCAGCCAGCGAGAGCATGAGTGAGCAGGAGAGGGAGACAGAGGAGGATGAGGGAAGGGGCACTACGGACAGGACACCCATGCTGCCCCGAAGGCCTCCCGACTGCCAGGCCTCAGAGAGAGCAGGTCTGGTCACCCGAGGCCTCGGGGCCCTGCTGCTGCCTGGCCGGGCCCTGGCTGGGCTGTTGCTCTACCTGCTGCTGCCTGTGACGGTCTTCCTGCTGGCACTCCTGCCCGCAGCTGCCATCGTGTACCTGGGTTTCCTGTGCCACTCGAGGGTGAGCCTGGGTCCTCCATGGGCAGGGGATGGGCTGGGGTCCCTAGGGAGCGGGTCCTGCTTGAGGAAGTTGAGGGCCCCTGGGGCTGAAGGCAAATCTGCTCCCTTCCAGCACTGTCCCCCATCCAGAGACATGTGTGCCCCTCTGTGGGAGGCGCTTCTGCCAAGCCTCTCCCCACCCCACGGGCCACAGCCAAAGAAGGGCTTTTGTTTGTCACCCAGAGGACAGCTCTCCCTCCTCCCCGAGGTCTCCCAGCTTTGTACCAGGGGCCACCAGGGCCTGTACAGCTTGGCTGGGGATGCGTAGAGGAGGCGAGTTCCAGGAGGCAAAGGCGAATTTACTGGCCAATCTCACTAGTCCCCAGCCCCTCCCTACCTCGGCTCCACACACGCGCAGTCCCTCCCAGAGCCTCCTGCCCAGGGCTGGGTTTCTCTGCCTGTGAATGGACTATGGCTTGCTCTGGAAGAGGGAGCGTGTAGGCAGATGTCCCCTTTATGTGGGCGGCAGGCGGAGAGAAGGTGACAGTAGCTGGTGACAGCCGGCAGGGGCTCAAGGTCAGGTGCTGACGTAGAGAAGGACCATGGGACAGCAGAAGGGTACAGGAAAACGGGAGTGGGGGACCCGGGGGCCAATTCTCTGACCCTCTCCTCAAGGGACCCCTACTCGGGCCACTTGCCATCCGGGTCTCATTCGTGCCTCGGCACCAGAGGGCCCCGCCTGAGCGTCCCCCGCCCGCCGCCGCAGGTGCACCCGGCGCCCGGGCCGCGCTGCCGTCG